AGACACTGTTTCTCGCTAGAAAATCCTCTCTATCCTAGCCTTTCATCTGCTTGGTGTTCTTGGATGAACTGGAGGAAGATCTGACCACACACGTTCCCTTGGATTCGATACCCTTGGAATACTCCGTAAGGGAAGTGCTACAGCGGTATATCCGTGCGCTTGCGGAATTTTATCTGTGATCGTAAGAAATACCAACAATATGCTATAAGTTGGATATGTGAGTCATGCTGGCCACATGAGATGCACATGTAATAACCAACTCTAGCGCTCCTATAGGTGATTAAGAGATGCCTACTCCTGGTTATCGACTAGACAGTTGTAGTGACATCTCGCCACCTATCAATTTAAATTTACTTGTGGACCGTTGAACTCCATCTATCGTTGTCGAAAACTCCATGTCTCTACGGTCTTACACCGGGATCGACCAAGTGAGTACGACAAATATTGATAAAGGGTGACGCGGAAAACAAGAGAAGCTTTTGCGAATACGGTTTGTTTCCGTATGCCTATCAGTTGCCTATAGGTGATAGAGGTACGCCTAGACTTGATCCTCGACCAGTAGATCGTAGCGATCTCTCACCACCTAAAAATTTATCTTCAGGTGATCGAGGTACGCTTACTCCTGGTTCTCGACCAGTCGGTTACAGTAATCTCTCGACATCTAACGCGACAATCAACATTACCATGATAGCGACAACCAAGACTGACTAGATCGCCATTGTCACCAGGACGACAACGTCTAGGATTAACGACATCAGGACGACAACGGACATGGTTAACGACATCACGACATCACATGACGACGACGAAACTCGAGATCCCCAGACTTCTAGAGGGCCCGAGGACGAGGTATTAGGTCCAGGAGCCAAACCTCCGACTACAATAATTCCTTATCATCTTCGTCGTCATCAGGAGGCGGTTGTCGCAAGTTGTCAGGACACCGTCCATCTATTACTCTGAATTCCTTTCAAGTGGTTGAGGTACGACTACAACTGATCCTCGACCAGCAACGTAGCGATCCTCGTACCACGACTTCCAATGGTCGAGGTACGACTATGACTGGTCGTTGACCATCAACGTAGAGATCCTCGTACCACGACTTCCAATGGTCGAGGTACGACTACGACTGGTCCTCGACTAGCAGCGTAGCGGTTCTCGCACCTCAATTTTTAGTGGTCGAGTTATGACTACAACTGGTCTTCGACTAGCGGTGTAGCGATTCTCCCACTGCTTTTGCGATTTGTTGAGTATAACTATACACTTGGTCTTTGCCCAATGTGGTGGTCGTCTCATCATCTACGTCAATTTCTGTAAGTGTTTATATGTGCAATATTTATCCGTTGATCTCCTCTTCTTATATCGCCTCGTCTTGAAGGCGGTTCTATTGTCCCTTTACGCTGCTCTGACAAGCCTCCGAGAAACCCAAGGGAATTTCGGCTGGGGACGCCTAGAGCAGATAAAGTCTTGTTGGATTATAAGAGCCGAACGAACCATGTAAAACCTGGTCATGTAAGAGTGCTCAATGGATGCGTATTAACCAAGCCGTGTAATTGGAAATTGACTTTTCCAACTTCACGGCTGGGGGCTAGGATTTGTCAGCTTCAGCATGGTTTGTTAGAGCATCCCCAGCAGCTCATCTATATTTGGTCCTCGAAACGTCCATATGGAGTATCATCCAAAAAAAGATTCCTCATCCATATCCCTTCCAACTCCAACAGATCATCCATATCCCATCATCCTATATTTTAGTAATATCTTTCAACTAACCTTACATTTATATTTTAAGAGATATATTTTGAACTACTTAATTTTAAAGATGTTATTTATCGTGATAATATTTCAATTAAATTTTAACAGAAATCTTTTTAATTGATATATTTAAAATGAGTGAAGCATTTTTTTTGTGCATTGAATGACTACATTTGCAACGGCTACATTGCCAACAGCTAGCTAGCTAATTGAAAATGTGCAACGGCTAGCAAATTGCAACGGCTAGCACAGACATGCATCATCTCTATATATACCACTACATTGCTTGCTATCTTTTTGCACCATGCAAATTATTGTGCATGATTCTTCCATCACTCAATGAGCTCTCTTTTGAGACGTGTTTTGTTGGATGAATCATCATCATCCGACGATGAGACCATCATCGCTGCTGCAGCAATAGTCGCGCAAGATGAATATGAGCAGTCGAATGCTCGACGTTGTCGGTGAGGTGGTTCTGTTCCTTGTCGTCAAGTTGTTCGACGTAATCATCGAGCCAGCTATGAACGGTTGCAGCACGACTACTTCTCGCCGAATCCTACATACGGCCCAGTCTTATTCCGGCGAAGGTTTGCAATTAATTTACATATTTTGGTTGATTCTGTTTTGTAGGCAACTTTATTAATTCGCATTTTGTTGCACAGGTTTAGATTGAGTTGTCATCTTTTCTTGCGCATAGTTAATGATGTGGTAGCCCATGATGATTATTTTGTGCTAAAAAGAAATGCTGCAAGTACTATGGGTATATTACCATTGGTAAAGATTGCCACCACACTTAGAATGATAACCAATGGAGTCGCAGCCGACACTCAAGATGAATATCTGCAAATTGCTGATAGTACCACTATTGTTGAGAATTTTGGAGACGAGTACTTGCGTTATCCAACTAGTGCAGACACTTGTAGATTACTTGCACCTGGAGAGCAGAGAGGCTTTCCTGGAATGCTAGGATCCATAGATTGCATGCATTGGGAGTGGAAAAATTGCCCTGCAGCATGACAAGGCATGCATAAAGGAAAATAAAGCAAGCCCACTATAGTTTTGGAAGCTGTTGCTTCAAGAGATCTTTGGATTTTACATGCATTCTTTGGTTTGCTAGGATCTCACAATGATATTAATGTTCTTCAGCATTCCCCTCTCTTTGCAAGGCTAGCTGAAGGACAGGCTCCACAAGTGAATTATGAAATCAATGGTCACAACTACACAATGGGTTATTATCTTGCAGATCGTATTTATCCCTCATGGGCCACTTTTGTGAAGACAATATCAGAACCACAAGGGAATAAGAAGAAACACTTTGCCCAACAACAGGAAGCAGCCCACAAAGATGTTGAGCGTGCATTTGGAGTTTTGCAAGCCCGTTTTGCAATTGTGCGTGGGCCTGCTAGATTTTGGTATGCACACCAATTAAAAGAAATCATGATAGCATGTATTATTCTGCACAATATGATAGTAGAAGATGAGAAGGATGATGAAGGTCTTGACTACAACTATGATGATGAGGGAGAGCGAGTCACACCTTTGCATACCCCTATAGCTGAACTGCAGGACTTTATTCAGAATCATCATAATATTAGAAATAGACAGACTCACTCTCAGCTTCAAGAAGATCTAGTTGACCATCTATGGCAATTTCATGGTAGGAACTAATGTAGTATGCAACCTCCCAAATATGTAGTAGGCAACTCCAATTATGTATGGAACCTCAATTATCTATGGCAATCCTAATGATGTATGCAACATGTATGTGCTCACAATTAATCATACCATTCTTCCATACAACATAAATGTCACATACCTACAACTTAAAAGTTCACAACTCATACAGTTCTTACAAGCATCAGTACATAATTGACACATGCCTACACGGCACACAACATAAAAGTTCACAACTCATTAGGAAATAGCAATACGTATCACATATCCATACATCATGAACTCAATCCATATGAGCCTTTATGATCTCCTCTTGCAAACGCAAGTAATAAGCTTTTCTTGGCCCATCCATAGCACGAAGATCCATGTTCATAATTCTCTCTTCTCTTTCATGGGTTTCTAAATCTAACTTTCATTTTTCTATTTTCAACCTCTCTTTCTCTAGTGAAATAACTTCACCCAACCGGTCATTTCTTTCCTCCCTAGATTGTGCACTCATCTCCTTTTTCTCCGACCACATGTTAGTTAATGCAATAACTACAAGACTACTCTCACTTGAGCATGAAGAAGTATCACCTCGAGCGCGTTTTGCCTTTTCCACCTTCCTCCCAGGTGGTCTCACCAAAGGATCAGAGATACTAATGTCAGGGCTGCAATGAAATTCCCTGGAGTTTGTCCTTGCAGATGGTATCACCAAAGGATCGACATTCGCTTTCTGTTTTTTCTGGGACAACCTATCATTCCACTTTGGATGATGATGCAAAATCTCCCAACAGTACATTAAAGAAAATGTCTTCTTCTCTTCTGACTTGTACAAAGTAGTAGCCTGAGTGATTTGCATTAATTGGCAAGATGCGAGCTGAATTAGATGCATACATAATCTTGAACAGTCATTCCATTTTGAGGTCTATTAAGAATCTGCTCATAGTACCCACAAAACTTATTAACGTATTATTGAATTGTACCCCAACGGTTGTTAAGTGAATTTTGGTTACGATTAGAGAGGAAATCTTTGTTTTCATGGAAGTATTGATGAATCCTTGCCTAGTAGGAGTCACGGTGTTGCTCAGCTCCTGTGATTGCATCTAAAGTTGTATTCAGCCAAGCTACACCAACATTTTACCTTCCGCAATGCTGAAATTTTTGGATCTCTTATTGTTGGGTCTAGAGGACCCCCAACTTCAGCACTTGGCTGTTCACCAACCATAGGACTATATTGTGGTTGCTGTCCAGTTTGGGGAAAATTTTGACTAGGATCCCAAGTTTCTACATCAATGTTTGAGCCCAACAAATTAACATAGCTGTCCATGGATTCACCTAGCAAGAAAAATCGTAGCAACATAAATAAAATGAAGATAAAAGCAAGCAATATAGCAACATAAATCTAGTTTGTACTTAATTCCTATTATATATATATGCTCAATGAACATAAATTCACAAAAATCAACATACTATATTTCTCTGCTCAAGTGTGGTGTCTATACTGAAAAGAGCTCTTATCTTCACTTAACATACTATAGTTTCTGCTCTTCTTTGCTCTCAAAACCTCTTCTCTACCAAACAGGGCAGGCAGAGGGATGGGGGAGATGGTGAGGGGCGGCAACGGCGGGCTGCTCAGGGGCGACCAGCGGCGGCAAGGGAGGCGCGCCGGTGGCTCACGGCCGCAGGGCGGCAGCGGCTGGCAAGGGGCGGCGCTGGGTGGCGCTGGCGGATCTGGGACGCCGGTTGGCAAGGGGCGGCGGCGGCTGGCTGGTCAGGGGCAGCAGCGGCTGGTCAGGGGCGCCAGCGGCTGGCTGCTCAAGGCTGGCACTAGCGGCTCTGGTGAGGGGTGCCGGTGGCGGATTGCGGGCGCAGGGCAACGGCGGCAAGCGAGGGGTGGCGTCGGCTCACGGGCGCGGAGCGGCGGCGGCTGGCAGGCGCAGGGTAGCGGCTGGCAGGCGCAGGGCGGCGGCCACGCGCACGCCGGAGGTGGAAGGCGGCGGGAGCACAGCGACGGCGCCCCAGATCTTGTAAGCTCGCTCCATAAATCGCTGAAAAAAAATCAAAAAATGGGCACGGGGAACTCACGTACGCCGGATCGGGACGACGACGATGGAGGGGAAGGCGCGCCGGTGCTGAGCTCGCGCTGGAGGGGGGGAGCTCGCGCCGGAGGGGAGGTTCTTGCCGAAGTCCCGATGGTGGTGGGATCTCGATCTAGAGTCGTTTGGGCGAAATGGCGTGAAGAGAGACATACGCTATTTTTACCTCTTCTCTCTCCTACTATGGCGCATCCGCCAATTTTGGCGTGTGGGTTAGCACATCCGCTGGAGCGCGTTTTTTCACCCCTACACGCCAAAACTGGGATGGAGGATCGGTTCCATGATCTGCTAGGGATGCTCTTATAAGATTCAAGCTGTCTTTGTGGAAAATGGCTTTTCCATAAAAACAGCTGTGGGCTAGGAAGAGTACCAAACTTCGTTTGCTGAGGGCAACTCTAGCGAGAGTACTCTTTTATTGTCACACGCAGATTCAATTTATTTTCAATTTTTCCATACATATTATATCATGTTACCCTTGAGCGCTCGCTCGGGGGAGTTCTATTCAACATTATCGAAGACTCCATGTCTCTACGGTTCTACACCGGCATCGACTAAGCGAGTACGACAAATGTTCTGAGTATTGATTTCAGGGAAAATCAGACATCAGAACAATCAAGTCAGATTTCACGGCTTTGTCGCAGACTCTACGCCTACTCGATTACTCGAGAACGGTTGATGGGGCTTGACAAGGAATATGGAATGAAGCGATAGTGTACCCGCCGAGACGAGATTTCTTGACTTCAATCCAAATTCTCGATTACGGCAAGACGGGAGACTTAGTCACATGCTCCGTACCTTCTCGGTCAACATCGAAGATTGACCTAGACAAACCCAATATGGTGCCTACAAAGACCGATAAGAAGAATCTAGCGTTATTTCTGATCACACCGAGAATGGTCAAGCGAGCACAACAATAGTTGTTCCAAAGTCTTCGATCGAGAACCTTAACTCGTTCATTTACATTGAAGTCGGGGGGATACTGTCAGGGTTATGAATACCACATACCCAATAGTAATCGACTAAGCTTGGTAGGGCCCACCACATACCATGTCTTATACGGAAACAAACCTTGTATATAGAAGGAGTTCCAGATAAGGAAGGACTAATAGAGTTATACATGGAAACGACGAGGACTACTTAGATCATATCCATATTTATCTCCCTAGTTCTACTTGGACAAGGGGGCACCTATAGGTATAAATACAACCCCCTAGGAGGAGAGGAGACGAGCCACAAACCCACAAAGCCACAAACCAATACAAACTAATGCGCCACCAAATATCGACATCAGAGATTAGCCTAGACATACCCCATTCGGCGCCTACGGAGGCCGGCAAGAGGGATCTAGTGCCATCTCTGATCACGCCGAGTACAGATTCGAGGAGGAAGACTACCCCGTCATCGACTACGAGTTGGTTATCTAGCCGCCAAGTCAATGACAGCTAGATAGGTTATCCCAAATATTGTACTTGTGTGATCCAGATGAATAAAGAGCAACACCGGCTTCAGCCAACAGGATGTAGGGCTATTACCTGTTAGATAAGGGGCCCAAACATGTATAAAAATCCCTATCTCCATCTCTTTTACCTCAATCTCGCATATACCCTGGTACCAACGATCCCCATACTATGCAAAATACCGTAGTCATGATCTCAAACGTCGACAACCACGTCTACGCAATTAATATCTACTTTAGCGCTAGCTAAACACTAAAGCAACCACTATATTTTGCTGGACTATAGTGATCAATTATCCTGCACGTTAATTAGGAACTAACCAGGAATTAATTATCACCGAGTAAATCTTAATTACTCAGAATGATAATTCTATTAAAGCATAGTAATTAACAAAGTATAAGAAATAAGAGAGGACTACCGACAACTCCGAAATTCCTCCGACTTCTTCTACTCTACTTTCTCCCTAATTCTAGTATACAATAAAGTACAATAGAGCCTCTTATAATTCAGCTCAAGCTTGGAGTGTGTGTGTGAAGTGAGGGAGAGAGGGTCCTTAAATAGGTAGGTCATGATGGTCGGAAAACGCAAAATGTCTGAAATGCCCCGCAACCGCCATCAGTAGAGCGTCTGGAACGCCCATGCCAAACCTCAGCCTGAATGACTAAGATTGGGGTTCGGCCAAACCCTAGTTGGGCCCATTTTCTGACGTTTAGATGAAGTTTAAGGCCCACTCTGGTATGGATAGAATTCTTCCTTCACTTAAGTCTGATTTTCATCCCAACTTCGGCAGTTTATTACCTGCATCCAAATATACACCAACACTCATGGAATTTGTTAGAATTAAGTCCTACCACTATGTTGGATGTATTATTAACTATGTATTATGTAGGTGTTTGCAGCATAGAATTGGCATTTAACAGCTGCCAACAAACCCCCCACACTTAGCTCTTTACTCGTCCTTGAGTAAAGGTTAAGATGCTAGTGTAGAATAAAATTCTTCAAGACATAATACAAGCACGTAATTTATTCAAAACCACCCTCGTACCTATGAAATTTAATAGGGGCTAACTTACCATCTTGGGCAATTGATAAATGGAATGGTCTTCAATCCGGTCCTGCTTGTTTTCTTTGTTAGACTCTTGGGGTTTTCATACATTTTCGCAAATCAGGCTATACTCCTCATAATGACTTACTCTCAAATCACTCAAGTGTTTTGCAATTTATGTGGGTCCCCATCAAGGCACATTTTCCGAACTTTAACCCTATTTTAAAGGGTGTGTAAGTGGAGCTTGGTGGGAATAATTCGGGACATACCTGCTTCATATATTTTCCAAAGCCAAATACATGGACTAAAGAAGATAGTTGATCATACTCTCAATTCAAGGATGTGCAGTTGTGTGGAATGTGTATGGTATTTTTTATGTGGATAGTGCCCATTGGGCAGCATGCTATCACATATATCCACAAATTGGCCCATAAGTGGAAAGCCCAATTGTTTGATTTAGAGTTTTGACGAGATTGCGTTGTTGGCCTGTTGGGCAAGAACGGGAGGGAGCACGGTTCACCTTCTTAGCTTCTCTTCTCGCTACGCGTGATGCTTTGTCTCCGGCTCTCTGCGACTCCTCGTCTCCTCGCTCGCTGCAGTTCGCACCGCGCCACCGCCCACCAGGCCACCGGCGTCCGCCGTCCGGCGCACCGCGTCTCTACTGCAGAGGCCAGAAATGGCGACCCGCTGACACCTAGCCATCGCCCTCCGGCGCCCGGTGGCTGGCGCCTAGCACCCTAGCCTAGCGACAGCTGACGCCCGAGTCCCAACGGTCGGCCACCCGGCAGCCGGCACTGCAGGCTAGGCCGGCACTGGCACACTGCCTCGACTCCTCCAGCCTCCTAAAATCGGAATCCCGACGGCCGCCGGCCTGCCTGCCTCCAGGCTCCATCGCAGCATCGCTCTAGGCTCTAGCCTCTTGGTCCTGGACCTCGTGTCCTTGTCGGCGCTCGGCAAGGCAGGCACCAACGCACCAAGCAGTACTACAGTAGCCGCCAGCCAGCATTAACAAAGTACTCTCTCTGTTTCAGGTTATAAGACGTTTTGACTTTGGTCAAAGTCAAACTATTTTAAGTTTGACTATGTTTATAGACAAATATAGTAATATTTATAATACTAAATTAGTTTCATCAAATCAATAATTGAATATATTGTCATAATAAATTTATCTTGGGTTGAAAATGTTATAACTTTTTTCTACAAACTTGGTCAAACTTAAAGTAATTTGACTTTGACCAAAGTCAAAACGTCTTATAACCTGAAACACAGGGAGTAACAAGGACATGGATATAGATGGACAGCCAGGACAGGGACAAGATGGATATGGGTGTGGTCATGGCCGTGTTTCCGGTTTGCATTCAACGATCGAGCCTACAAACGTTGCCGCTGCTAGCCGCGGACACGGAAGTCCATTGAGTCTGAATGGCATGCCTAGTGGTAGAAGTATCATCGGCAAAAGGTTTAGAAATAAAGGTATATCATGCACTCGTTATGGATTTTTCAATTTGATAAACAATAACAAATGAATCAATAAGTAGCAACAAGTGATTAATTGTTTAATTTCCTCTCAATATTGATTTTGTAGATTTGGGCACCTTTTTGACAAAAAGAAGTGCTAGCACATGTTCCCCTCATCCAAGTCCAAGTGCCCACGGATAGGGGTGAAAACGGATCGGATTTGGACGGATAGTAGTCATACCATATCCTTTTCTTCTAAGTACGTGCATGTGTCTTGAGATGTTATATGACTGTGAGCTACATTTGTTAGGCCCCGCTCGATCCATGGCTCTTTGTACGTAAGTATCACTACAGCAAAACCATTGTTTTAAGACGTTTCACTTAAGTCATTCTATAAAAGTCATCTCTCTTTTATAAGTAAAATTGAAATAGGGACGATGTTGGAGACGCTTTATTAGTTGAGGACATAGTTTAAGACGTTTTACAGGTTAGCACAAAATTAAATCGTTTAGACAAGAACATTGAGACGTTTTGGAACGTCTCATGTGTAGAAATGAGTTTTGAGACGTTTTTATTATATCCGTGTCATCGTTATTAGATAATATATAATTATTTATATAGAGAAAGAAGAAAATAAACACACTGTTCCTAATCGTCATCATCAAATACCATTATAATAATATTATAATTATTTAGACAAAAAAATTGAATATTTAATATTCAGTCTCAGATTAAAAAAGAAGAGTATCTGCTACAAGACGCATGTTTGCAGAGTTGCAATATAAAAATAACTATCTATTTACCTTCAAGATTGTTCACGTTAATGACTTGGTTAGTGCATGAACTTTGCAACCTGCAGGTGCTGTGTTCGAGCCCAGATGAAAGCGTTAGTATCAAATATATTAAGATGTGCGTGCCTATATTAATGCTTCTATAAAAGCGTCTCTATATTTTGTAGAGATGCAATTTACACGTCTCTAGCAACGTCTTAAATAATATAGGTACGTTTTGAAAAGCGTCTCCATAATTTTGATGTCGCAAGACATCAAAAACCAAGTGTGATGTTGGAGTCTTCATAAAGTGTGTTTCAACACCAAGCATCACCAAAATGTACAGTTAATGTAGCTCCTCCCGAGTTCTTAGGCATCGTACGTCCCTCGTTCTTAATCTCAACCTGAAATGGTTATTGACCAAGAATAGCCTAAGGTGCATACTATCCTAAAAGCAGATTCTTGCTTTTATTGGAGAAAAAACTTACCAAGATAATCTAGGGTATCTCCCAGTAGTGCTTTTTTTATGGTCACAAGCTTGACATTTGGGACATCATCCTGCAAGATTAGTGCCACAACATATACGAGATTAGCAGTATTTATGATAAATGAAAGCATCCACAACCAAACTTCTAATCATGCTAGAATTGAAGAATGTAAGGTGGTTGTGATTCTCGTACAAGGATGTGGTACTAATTGGACAGGACTCTAAGGATTCTTTATGTGAGCAGGATTCCTGAGGAATTTTGAGAGTGAAACTTTCATGCTCATTAGTGGAGTTTTCATCCGCCAGAGTTGATGTCTCAAACTTGTCCATGGCTTGCAGGTTCTCCTTCTCAAGAGATGCATCGTGCAAGAACAAGGTTGTTTCTTGACAAATGTCAAGAACAATATTTTTATGGCCAGAGGGACAAGGTTCAGGCTCGATAGGAGGTTGTGATGGTGGTTCTTTGGAG